CCAGTAGCATTCCCTTGTGTATAATATTGTTTGGTAAATGAATGGATATAACCATATAAGGAAAAAAAAACTTCTCAAAGCATATAATTTATTCACTCCAGTGTTTTGTTTCAATACAAACACATTTAGTTGGACTACAGGGTTATTCATTTCGACAGAAGATGGTACCTGGTAGTGAAAAAAAATCTGCTCAAGAAATATTTTGAATATTCTACGGAGAAAATTACAAAACAACAAATATGCTTATAAAAAAATCCTAAGACAGGAAAAAAATTATAGATCATGCAAAAAAAAAAGATAGCTCAAAATTAAGTAAAGAAATAAAAAATTGTGTTCTATCATCAATCATCCACACACACGCCCAGAGTTTTCCAACCCATGAATACAGAGAATTTTTTAATAACAAATCACTATAGGTTACATTGCCATGAACAAATTTCAAATTCTCATTATCAGTACTTGTAAACAAAATAAATCTATACAGGCTTAGTTTAGTTCATCTATTTTATGAATTTGTTTAATAATTTCAATGATGTGATCATGAAAAAATAACAGAGGAGTTCTTCTTGTCCATTTATGTTGTTGTTTACTTCTACATTTTCAAAATGTAGCAAAGTCAGATTGTTTTCACATTTACCAGACAAGTTAAATTCATGACACAGATCTTTGAAGTGATTATTTTGACTTACACTACCGGTACTGGTAGTACATGTATATATAATATCTTTTATTATTAACTTTACAAAAAAAAGAATTCTGATTTCTTCAATTTTTAACAGACAGATCCATTCAGGTGGTATATTTGACTGCTTTATAAATGAAAACAAACGCCACAACTGCAATGTATATCAGCCAATATATTGCTTGACATTAATTGTACATGACTGGTACATGATATTATCCCAGAGGTAGTGACCTATATTACACAAGTACAGACATCCAAGGCAACCTGTGGTAATTGTAGGCTACTCACGAGGAGTACATAATCAAAATTTTCACATTCTTCTGAGGTTCGATATTAAATCATTTTCATTGCTTGAGAATGCAGTATCATCTACATAAGCAGTCAGTGGAAAGACCAAGTGTTTCTAGTTCTACCACATCTTCTGACAACATTCTAAGCAAAAAAGTGATTAAAGATTGTACAATTTGAATGTGTCATTGATCTGATACTGGATGATTCCTTAAATCTAAAACTTTCTTCATTACAATGATTTTCACAGTACCAGTATATCACAAGAGATGGTCTCGGAGTTTAATCAAAGTGGACTTCTTAGTAGGAAAGTTTCCCCATGTCATCACGAATGTTTGGATATGAACTTTGGATCTGCTTTTAGAAACCCGGAACAACACACAGACTGCTCATTTGCATGCCGCTGACAGCACTTCATCAGTTGATCTATGAAGTCTTTACATGCTTCTTCATTGTAATTTTTGGCTAGAGGAATAAATGATAAAACAAGTTAGCATCTTATAAAGAAAAGAAAGTTGTTAAATTCTTGTGACAAACATAGAATAATAATCACTGGTTATGTCAGGATTATTAAAGATTTACATTCAAAGCCTACCGCAGAATTATGTTTATCATGTACATTGTACAATCATAGAGTTACAGACAATATGACTGTGCTACTATAAGTGTAATAAAGATTTCTTCTTCAAAAAAAAAACATTGCCAAAGATATTAAACGCAACCTTACTGGAAAGTTATTCTGAAGATAAAACAATTGTAAGGCAATCTATCTCTCTTGAAGCTACTCTCTCAATTGCACCAAATGACAGTGAAAATGCTAGCATGCTGAATGACTACTTTAATTAAGTGTTCACAAGTCATTACCCACCATCCCTGTATCAAAGATCTTACATTAGTCCTTTATACAATATGTACTCTAATGTGGAGTCCATTAAAATGAAGCTACCGGTAATCAAACGCTATATACATTCATATTTCCAGGCTCTGATAATATGCATCAAAGGGAAAACTGTACTGTTCTAGCACAATCTCTTTTTTTTTATATTCAGTAAATCATTTGAGGGTATTTTCATGGTCATGTATATTAGATGATGGGGGTACCTGGTGGATACGGATTTCATGAAA